TATGTGTAAGCTCATGCATGCTTCATGAAAGGATGTATATTCTTAATCTTAATAGTGCTGAACCAGTTAATGTGAAAGGTACTAATATATACTTCCGTGGGTTTAAGATACTTCAATTGATCCTCCAATCAGTGATGGATAAAGGAATGAGCAATGCCAAGGAAGTTATACTAACTGGATGCTCAGGTTTATATAATATAATAACGAACAACATTTTAAAATTTGATATTCTGTTTTATAAATTTTAGCTGGTGGACTTGCAACTTATATTCACACAAACTATGTCAAGTCACTTCTGTCTCCTACAGTTACATTCCGTGCCATTGCAGATGCTGGGTAATACAGACCACATTATTTTAGTGTTTTTACTAACAATGAATACAATATAGATACTTCATTGATGCTCCTGATGTAAATGGAGAATGGTATATTAGGACATTCTACAGTGATGGTCAGCATAGTTTATTCACATGCATTAAATAATAAAATTGATTTATCATTTTAGTATTTAATATGCAGAATTGCTCAGATGGTGTTAATCAAGACTGCATTGCAGCATATAAAGGAACCAATGAAACATGGAAATGCTTCATGGCACAGGTTTGAATAAATTTGCTACTTATTAAAATGGCCATAAAAATTCAGTTAGACAACTTTCTATACAGCATAAGTACATCAATATGTATCAGAAAATGTAATAAAGATTTGGGGTGATTTCGGAGTCATTTTTTGAAAAATTCCCAAGGCTATTATAGCCTTGGCTATTTTTCAAAATTTTGACGCTTTATTAAAATGGCCGTAACTTTAAAAATTGAAGCTGGAATCGGCTCAAACTTTCTATGTAGCATAAGTACATCAATATGCATCAGGAAATGTAATAAAAATTGGAGGTGATTTTGGAGCCATTTTTTGAAAAAATTCCCAAGGACAGAACTAAAAAAGGACAAATACAAAAGGACAGAACTAATTTGGAGGAATGTTACAAATAATTAATCAATTGATTAATTGATTATTAGATACTAATACACACTATGACTACTGAGTATAAATTGTAGCTGGGTAACTACCAAACACAAAATAATTACCAAGTTTTATTTTAATTACTCCTCGTGGTACAGTAATATCATCATTCCTCCACTTGCATATTATCTCGTTAAGAATATCATGAGGTAATTGTTCATAAGTAGCTTCAGTGTCTTCTATTAATGGAGTATCATTACCTCTGTACTTTGCAAATATTTTTGAAAGTTTTGGATTGAATTTTC